TGGGATTAACTGAATGTGACCACTTTGTTTACAACAACCGATTCTACACACACACTGCGCAAGACAAAAATATCACACGTTGAAAGGTAAAATATGCTGATTCCTCCTGCGCACAGGCAAAGTAAATAGGATTATTTCAAGCTGATCACTTTAACTTCGACCGTCCGCTTCCAAATTTTACGATTCTCGGATGACGAACCGGTGATAGGTTTTGTGGTATCGATTAATTAATTCGATTAATTAAATGTCGAAGCGAGATCTCATGAAGATCAACTTGCATCCCATATTGGACTAATGTATTGATATGTCACTCTGAGAAACCCATTCGATATTTTTCAAGCCGACAGATTTTCAATATGAACAAAATTGTTCCCAACCTTCTCCACCCGATTTACCTTCATACAACCGTATATAATCAACTTCCATCAGAGATCATTTCAAAGCAACCTTATTGGCAAGAACCACGAATTTGCTACAGCATTTATTATAATTCCTCCAGCGAAGAAAAACCGCACCCACATGGAGTGTGAATTATTTGTATGCATCACTATGGTGCGATGCTCTGCACAAAACCCACAAGAACAACTGCGAACTAAACTCCGTTTTTTTACAGAAAGCGGTTCCACAAACTGTAACCAACTGAATATATCTCATTCGGGTTCCCATCTGATGGGTGCGAATGGGCAGTAAATTTACTGGCTCCATAGTTTGATACAATCAACCATATAGGCTGTCCAGACACCAACGGCATAACGGGTTGACGCATTTACACATCTATGTACATCGCTTGTGACTTGTTTGTTTTTCCATGGCGGAAAATAATGATAAACATCTGTCGTGTTATCACATAAAATGTTGCACAATTGCTAGCCTACGAATACAGTCACATCGGGAAAGCAGAATGGAGTTTCGATTTCAGGTAATTTGTGGTAAAAGTGAATCATAGATTTGTCAATTCAACCCAGTTGTGAATGAACACATTGAAGAAAACAACAAATAACCCTTTCTTTTTAATTTGATCAATTTAGGCTATTATGTCTTTCATTTTGAAACGAATGGCAGTTTCGACTAACATGGTAGGCTGATCAGGTGTGATCAATGCGTTTCTTTTCTCGTACACAGTAAGTGGAATTTTCAAAGATGAATTCGTCGTGTATGCAGTAAACGAAGCCTGAACTGAAAAGCTAGGAAGCACTGGACATTCTGTTTCAGCCTGATCGGATGTCATCAACAGTGCTAATCCATCCACCCAACTGCGTATCGAACCCGGGACCTCATGGGCAGAACGTAAGCCGGCTACCCACTCAGCCATCAAGCAGCTGATCAAACCGTTTTTTATTTTACGCGATATAGCACAACCCATCTTTGCGAGCCTATTGTGGTCCACAGACCATGCTCATCGCAGCACTAGCCTCCAGGAAACTTTCATAACCTGACTACTGATTTTAAGTGAGTTCAGTTCACGCTTCATTTGCTATATATACGACAAATTTACCTTTGAAATTGAATCAAATCCTCCAATAATCACTTGAAATAAGTGGAATCTACCAATCCATGAGGAAGAGACTACATGCCTACTGTATCTACCATACAAAATCATTTTTGTCATTCTCACTTAAGATCATGAACACCCGAAAAATTCTTCCCTGTACTCGAGGCTCAACTCCCACTCTGAGTTTAGGATCAAGAACTAAAGATGCTCTTTGCAGTCAGCAGTGACATTTGGTGAAAATGCAATCCTAAGGCATCACAACCGACATGAAGCAAACTTTAATGTCCATGCAATTGTTTATGGATTTTGCATGAAACTGGCCAACTGATATCCGGAATATCAGTTCTCCATACAAAACATCAAACACTGGTCTAAAATACTCGAAGTTCATCTCCATGATAGACAGAAATGGAACGTTTTTGTCCCAAATCCCGATTTTCTTCATTCGCACATAATTAATTTCTTGATACAATCTTACTACTTCATTCTACACTTTACCAAAGGAAGTAACAGAATTCCTTGCCCAGCGTTGTTGTGAATACGGGTGTATCATCACTAATTATATTTTGCCGCGAAAGCACTTGCCGTTCGAAGAAGCCCAATGACTTTGATAAAGCCAGTTCAGGTGCTTCTGGCAATTAGCTTACAGCCTCCTTCTTGGCTCATAAAAATCATTCTAAAAGCCTTCGGAGTTTCGAAGTCCCAAGGACATTAATCTGCTAATTATAGTAACTTCCAAGTAGTGAAAAATATATCTGATTCAGCCTCTTGCTATACAGTATATGCTCATCAGAGATCATTAACTAACGAAACAAGAGATGATTAAATTAAATTATGATTTATTGTCGAATTATTTATCAGCCCCAATACTTCTTTTTCCATATGTGTATGCTTGGCTGAATCTCAAACGTACCGATTTATTTATTAGTGCTCTCTCATTTCAAGTGGCTGTTCATTCACATTTGACTTGTTTTCCGACATAATAAAAACAGAAACAACCGAGAACGCTTATGAAAGATTAGCAAAAAAAATGGCATCCTTTGTTTGTCGATAAATGACCTATCGTCCTAATTCCCCCTGGATAGTATTCCGGATTTCTGGTGTTGATAAAGCAAATTTCAAACAAGCCCAACGGTCCCAGCAAGAAAATATTTAGGGTAAAATGAGATCAAGAAATAGGACACGGAATCAATTGACATTAATAAAACGTAGCTGTAATGCAAAGTTGAGAGGTTCATAATATACGCGAAGACCATCATCGCCAATACTCCAAAACTACGGGCCACGTATCAAAACGGTTTACTTCGTGACTCTCATTTAAATCTTCGGAAAAGTCTGCGCGCAGTAGGTTAGTCGACTTTCCTCGATGAACCTTACCACCAGAATATCCGTATGACGAGAAAGAATTTGTTTATAACAGAAAGCGTGATCAATAAGTAAACACAATCCCTCTAAACCGGTTTACTAAAAGGAGATCTTTCAATGTGAATCATCCTTCTCGTGTTACCGATTGGTCAACATAACGGGAATGAAGTTCAGGAAACATGCTGATAAATTGTACCTCATCAAAAGGAAGAATGCTCGATTGATCGATTCCCTCACTAACTCACTGTCCGACAAACTGGTATATTGAATGAATGCATGGCGGATGACCGCTTGCTGAAACACGCCATAAATGTGCTTGGGAAATAGTTCATCTCAGAATATAAATGTTCGATAATGCAAATTAATCTAAATAATCAAACAACCTCATAAACTTACGATCTCTTGTGTCGAAAAAAGCTGGCGATTTGCAGGGCGATGATTCCGACAATCAAGCAGATCACGCCGAACCACATAAAAACACAAGTAAACTTTTTATTCAAAAGCCACTGGAAATTGCTGATAGGAATATCTTGTGATCGAGCCCCGATCGAATCACGTGGAATGGACAACCGCACAGTGGGTAAGCTGGCCTGATTGGATTCTAGACTGCCATTCCGCTGTGCCGTATCTCGTTTGCTCAGATGACACGGGTGAAAGAACGGCAAATCCCCATAGCCCCGAATGAGTGGTGGTGCATGAGGAATGAGTTGGGGTAAGTAGGCTGCCAATCGTGTTCTGAATGATTCCACTCCACTGGTAGAAGGCACAACGGGATCACTGCGGAGCATTTGAAGCGCTTGAATGGGTTACAAGTTCCTATGACACAGATGACCAAACCAGAACAAATAGTGTGTTGCAATCTGGGAATAGCGACAATTGCATTCAAGGTGATGTCGTTTGGGACTGACGAGGGTTAGAACAATGTTTTAAACACAATACAGTTCACAACTTTTTGGCATTCAATTTCTGTGGGACTATTTGTGGTCAGAACGTAAATGATCAGCCGATCCTCATACGCTCACAGCAGTAGAGTACAGAAAATGGTTTGACTGTCTGTTCAAAACGTACAAATCATGACAGCAAGCTAAAAAGGCATTCACTTAAAATTCGGAACAGCAGTTTTGTCTGCATTGGTTACAGGCGGCGCCAGGTCATACTGCACAGGGCTAAGGGATATAGGAACATCAACCCGTCTGTGCTGTGCACAAAAACACACTCACACAACACACCTTGAAGAGGCTGTGAACACACCGGTATTTCATTGGTCACTTTATGGTCTCCCCGTTTACACTGAATGGGAGATGACCGATCAATCGATGAATATCATTCACCACGCGTGGTTGTGTGTGTGTGTGTACGTTCATATGCTAGCACAGTCGCGCGCAGCACGACCAACCATTAGGTCAGTCCACACTCCGAATGGAGAGGGTAATTGTACAGCGATCCTGTAAGCCGGTGTACATTATTCAAATAACGCAACGAAAAAAGATCTTAAACACGGAGGCCGCAAGAGCACAAAAATACTCCATGTGAAATTGCGTTGTTTCGAAATACACCTAGAAAACTGGATACAATTTAGGAGTACTAATGGGCAATATTGCGAAACAGGAAGCCAGTGGAATGTTTCTTTCTCCATGTTTCTCAAAGGACCCTTAAAAATTGAGTACCGTGAATCAATTATTGATTAGTTATCCTTCTCTGAATCATGTACTTGACTAGGTTTGATAAATAACTTCTCTCCATCAAAGTACATTGACAAGAGTGTTTCACGGTTTCATTGTAAGCATTCCAATGTGATTTCATTGTATCAGAGCCCACCTGTACACTTCTTTCAGTTATTTCTCATATTTTATAGGAATTTTGCAATAAACACTGTTACCATGTAATGTATCGGCAGATTTCCAAATAGCTCAGATAGCAGCCTGATTTCCGGTTAAATAAAGTACATTTATAATCTCCTTCGATATATGCTGAACCGTGCCAAGAATTGGAAAATATTTTAAAAATTTGCGTTTTCAGAAAACCAGTAATTTAGTAAATACTCGTCATGAAGGAAGCTTCTCATTTAAAGCGTACTGCATTCACATTTGGGATGTGAAAACATTATTGGTGGACAGAATAGTGTATCAAATCAAGGAGGTGCAATTTATTGTTCAGCACTACGAAAAGCGAATTGTATTGACAGAAAAATGATTTATAGATAACCGTCCGCCAACATGCTATGCACCTCGGGCATTCGCATATTACCTTATTTCATCAGGTGTTTGATTTTCGTGAGAAAGATATATTCATTAACCGACAAAGAGCATTGGACAATTGTTTCCTTCTGTTTGGGACTCGTCAACATTGTGGACTTCTTGTGTCCCCGTTAGGACTCGAACCGCGAAAATTGTTTTCCGGATTTCAAACCTTGACCTCTGAGGTACATAGCCGGCGGATAACACCTTGCGCTAATAGCTGAAGCAATTTGGAGTATCAGGTTTGGATAATATTTTTCGATTGTTTACAAATGTCTCTATCGCGTTTAAAAGAATTCAACAGGTTGGGAGTTAATGATCCCCGAAGGAGTGAAAATCACGACAGGGAACATCAACAGCGTCTGTTGCCTGTGAACAATCAAATGGGCTAATCCGAATATTGTGCTCGAATCTGATTTCGCCGCTATATTCTGACACAACGTTTGCATAAAACGGCATTATTTACCTTCCCATTCAGAAACCACTGCGTTTCTCTGTTACCTCTAGGTTGGACATGATTAAAAGTATAATGAAATTAGGAAATTACCCAAATGTTCCACTGAATCCACAGTCGTCAACTCTCAATTTATCTGCCGAATTGAAGAACCTCCAATATTTCCAAAATGTTGGTCTTCACCTGTCAGGAACTTTTGATCAGTTTCTGTACCTTGTCTCCAATAAGATGGGCACAAGAGACATTAGTTGAGATAAACCGTTGCTAAAATTCTCCATTTTAGTAGAATAATCTTTATCCTGAACTACCTGTTAATTTGCCTAGCGGAATAATGAAGCGATAATCATCCCCCATTCCGGCAACTTTCAATACACACGTATTTGTTGACTTTAACCAAGCCGTGCAGGTGGCAGCCTTTCAAACTTAATCGTTCACCCTCAAAGGACGTATCACACTACCCTGGTTGATCATGCAACGTTTCAACAAACATTTTTGTAGATTTTATCTTCATTTGCATTCACACATTCGGTTTGCAGCTGTGATGAATCATGGTTAAGTAGAAATACTTTTACTTTTAGAAATAGCGTTTATTAAGGCAAGAAAGGTGGAACGGAACTTTTGATTATTGTCAACAGTGAACTTCTGGAGACCCAGTCACTTCATCACTCAAATATTGTCTTTGAGACGTTTTCAGTAGAAATCATGCTCGAATACTTACAATAAACAAAGATTCTCCACACATTTTTGACGTATTAGACTACAGAGGTAAAAGATGACAATATATACCATAGGTTTCTTGTGGGAATCGTTGTAAGTTGTTTCAGGGGTTTGTAGAGCCTCATCGTGGATGAAATAATACCGAGTTATTTCTTAGTTTGTGTTCACTAAACGAAGGTTCGCCGGGTGTTAGACCCTGGCATGCGCCGATGAACTCCTCCTTCTTTATATGCTGACTTTTCAGTCGCGTTCACTCGCAATGGGGTTACGCATCATTAAACGACCTTCAATTAGGTGATGGCCTATTGCAATATTCAATTCAGGTAATTCTGCCTTCAAATCAGATCAACGTTTTATGTTCTTATTTATCCAAGCCCTGCTTCATAGTACCATTTGGGTGATCTATTTTGTTTGTAACATTCCGTGCCCATGTATTATTTGCGAATAAAATATTTATGCAACCTGGATTCTGATGATGAAGTAACATCCAATTCCACAATAAAAATCAACCCCAATATGATTTTATCCAACAACCTAACGTGAACGAAACGATGGGTTATCTTTTCCAGGACAAAAGCTTTAATTTTCAGCAGTCTTAACACGACTAAATAGATATTTATTGGCGTAACAGAACTTCATTGTACTTATACTCTTGTGATTGTTGTGATTATTGGTTCCTTGAAATGTATAAAATCATGTGAACAGGCGTTTCGAAAAGGTGTGTTGCATTTTCCAAGCGGAATGGTTGCGCATCTTGGAAGTCTACGTACCACTTTGTATTTAATGTGGCCAACGGTATTTTTAATTTTAGATTCACAAAGTTCAATTTCACTTTGTGTACTTAGGATATCAAAGTGAGAAGAAGAACACTGCCGTTGGCGTCCAATTATGTTTGTTTCTCGGTAGCAGGACAAGCCCTGTAAACCAACCTCTACATCTGCACCAGTGAGCGCCGGAACTGTTGCTGCTCCCCGTTTCGTTTTAAAAATGCATATCGTGTTCAAAATGTCCAATGTGTGTGGGCTACTTTTCACCGGTAACGGAGGGAATAATTTTCTTGCGAACCTTTCCTTTTTTATCTGTATGCAGCATTTACAGCATTTGTACATGACATCACAATTTTGTTTCAAATGTTTTGTCTATGACAAAGCTGGTCATTGATTGGTTCTATCCGCCCAATCCGGGATCAATACACGGGGTTAGATAAACAGTCCGGAGTATTTTTTTTACTGCATCTGGCCAGCTCGGGTTATCTGCCAAAAGGAGGAATTTGTGAATGTGGATATGATAAGCAGAACATGATAGACAGATACCAAAAGCTCGGATTTGACAGTGGTCTTCAAACTGAATCGGTTAACTGTCGCGACAGCATTCATCATCCGGATTGCATTTAGCCTCGTTTACGCTACGTGTGAGGATCATGAACGAAGTGTGCCGTGCGTTCGTGGAATGAGTACTTGCGTGCACGCAATCCAACAGAGTATTTTACCAACCAATTAGATCCTTTTACACACTGATTGGAAAATTAAGTGATAAAGGAATTGAAAACGATGCGAAATCAGATCAGCTGATCTGTGATAGATTTATTTTTAGTTGTTTTCTACCATATGTTTTTGATAAAAGTAAAATAAAATCACGAGGATATCATCCCGTGGACTGAATACACTGAATTTGCAAGCATAATGAGTAGATGCACTATCGCCAATGTTGGCGACACTCAGCCATATCATTCAGTATCTCTAACAACCTTGTACGATTATCCCGCTTTTCTCATCTAAGGAGCACATACAACCGAGTTTACCGGTCAGTGTTTTCATACCCATTACGCCAAGTCCTAAATTAGGGTTGTTTTACCGTGCCCAAACAATTTGATCCCCCTTGAAAAGACTGAATGCGTCAGATTGTGCACTGTCATCATCACTATCATCATCATCATCATCAGGATACGATCAGTACGATCAGAACAGCAAGAGTTACCGATTTTCCTGTGTCACGCTTCTGGCTTTGTCAACTTTCACATGAGCGGAGCAGAACCTCAGAGAAACCCACAAAGCTGCTTCGATGGACTTCATTCATCATCATCTACCATACATTTGTTGCGATGTCAAATGGTGCCTGGTGCTTAAAACATAAACAATAATGCGGGACTGTAGAACGAAAGTTTAACTGTTACTTAACACTGCACACAGAGACAAAAACTGACCTCCCATTGTAATATGATTAAAGTAATATCCAAGGTGAAATTTTATGATTAAAACTCAGCACATGATCAAAAAGCAAACGTTCAGCAAAAATAGAATCATATAAAATGCACAATTGCCATCTTAATTATTTACATTTCCGCATCAATCGCCTTGGTACTTACGGATCCAATTCCTGC